AAAATAAAAATTATTACTATATTTTATTAATAAAATTGTACATGTAATTTTATAATTTTGTTAATTTCTATATAATATATATTAAATTTTACTATATTAATCTAAAAAAATTAGTTTAATATAATTATTATAAAAAATTTTGATTTTATTTATTATAAAAATAAATATTAAAATATATATACATTAAAATTATATTTTTAATTTTGAAAATAATTCAAAATATAATAAGAAAATCCAAAAATTTACTAAAATCTTTTTAAAAAGAGCCAAAAAATTTGAAAATAAATTAAAAATTTATTAAAATAATTAGTAAAATTTTGAAATTTAAAAAAATAATCATTTCGAAAAATATCAAGAAATATTCAAATATTTTTATATTATTTTTTCTTTTTCTAAAAATATTTAACAAAAAATCTGAATATTTTTAGAAAAAGAACAGACTTTTTAATTTTTTTAAAAGAATTCAGATAACTTTCTGATGTTTTTATAATATCACATCTCTTTTATTAGTACAACAAAAATCTCCTATAATATATTTTATTTTTATAATATTATTATATTAATCCTTGTTTTCATGTTTCACTTGAAATTATTTTTTATAAAATTGAAAATTTATTTATAAAAACCATATCAAAATGCATTTTGTATATTGTGCCACAAAATTTTCATGTAAATTTTTCAAAGAAACTTTAAATGGAAATTTGAAGATTTTGTAAGAATAAATATTATATCATTCACAAAAATAAATATAAGCATAATTTATTTAAGAAATTCTTGCAGAACTGGTGCGAGACTAAAAGTTCTCAATATCTGAATTTTTGATTGCATACCAACAGCAGATCAATAGAAAATATAACATAAGTTAGCATGAATCAACAGATGACTTATTGTATCTTGAGCACATTTCAGCAAATGCATCCAGCCAAAAAATGGTCTGTCAATACGTACGTACTTTTCATGTAGATTGTATTAGTATTTCGTATATGCATAATGAAAAAATCCGGAATTATATGTGATTACTGAATGGCCGAAAATTATAACTGAGAAATATCTTCAGTCAATCTAATACTATATTAACTTTATAACAATATGCGATTTCAGATGCTATACCTTTTGCAATAGTTAATTTTTGCACCCGTGAAATTTTTTGAAAGTATTTAGAATTATTTTAAATAATAAATTGGTCACTAATTCAATATTATTTATTTACCTAGAGTGAGAACATATTATTAGATGAAAATTTTAATGCAAAGCTTAGTAATTTTGTATGCATCTATATTAACTAGACAATTAAAAGCCCTATAAGAAAATTTGCACGTAAGATGTCTGTAAAAAAAGTATGAATTCAACTTTTACATGTTTTTACAGACATATCGATATACGTAAGACCTTAAATCACGTACGTATTTGAAAGTTTGTCACACATACTCGAAATTACAGGCATGTTTTTCTTATAGGTGCCTGAGAATATTAATTCTATTAGTGTTAACTTCAATAGATACACTGCTCCTCAAGATAAATATTATCCCATGCTCTTCACACTAAGGATGAATATATTTAGAAAGTTTTCCATTGGTTTCTATCCATTTATATTTTTGCCATTAGTGATGTGGGGAATTGCAGCAAAAAATTACCGTATATTCATCTCTCGAAGCTCGATTGAAAATTCTGAGTGGTGCTCGTCCATCTCCAATTCCAAATAATTTTATTCCAGAATACAGAAAAATCATGAAACTGAATTGGGCACAATCTTCTCATTTACGTCCACTTTCATAAAACATCAAATTCAATATCTAGCAATTATTTATTCAAATCCTTTGTGTATAGAAAGTAGAATAGAAGACATGCTAAAAGCGATACTTGATATAATGTTGGTAAATCACTTTTTAAAGAGGATGACTATATATACCTTTGACGAATCCCAATACTTGATATGCTTACGCGAAGAAGCAGATGCTTTACCGGAAAGTAATATAATTCTTTGGTACAATACTATATTCTAAAATATGTTTAATTGTGTGTGATTTGAAATATTTGGAAAAGCATATGAGAAGAATGCGTTATTTCGGTATTGTGGTATTTTATTGAATATGAAGAATATTTGGGCTGAACGCAATAAACGGTGTGAATTGTATTAGAATGTATAATATAATTTACACCGTTTCTATTGCACTTAGCCAATTTTAAGATGGCTTAGATATTAACGTTAGAATTATGTAGGAACGCTGAAAGTCATGATCATGTGAAAGTAGAATTTCCTCTTAGAAAAATCAGAATATCAAAAACCATTTTACAAGACTCGAGTATTTTACTACCAAAGGATAAACAGGAGAGGATTTAGGCAATAGAAAGTCGGCGCCAGTTTCCTGGTACAAAAATCCTGACAATAATTTCGAGAAATATCGAAGTTAGATTCGGAAGTGAGAAGAAATGGGAAATCATTGACTTCCGGTATTTCTTTCCAGAACCTCTAAAGCATTTTCTAACCCAATAAAATTCCATAGCAATATAGAAGACCTGACCGTCGCAATTCATAGGCTTCAGCATAGCCGAATTACGTGGTTGGAACATTGTTCCGAGTGAATTTCTGTTAAAGTGACTTTTATAGGTCTCATGCTAATATTCGACATTATTATCGGTTTTATTAATGAATAAGATACAAGTTATTTTGCCGCCGCCATTCTTCGTTGGAATTTTACATTTCGTACGATTTTTTTAATTAATGGACTGCATGTGTTTTGAAGATACATGAAGTTAATTACGTATAACACTGGCTGGTTGAATTATATTTGTATTAGATGAATTAACTGCATTCTAAGAACTGCATAAAAATAATATCGATATACCGATACTGTATAAACCCAACTAAATAATTATTTAATATCTATTTTCACATGTGCGCATTTGATTAAACTCGAAATAACTAACGCTAACTAAAAACAGCAACAACATTTATTCTCAACGCTGATCTATGGTGACAATTGAATGGCTCAGAAATTTTACTTACTCGAAAGTAAATACGTACGTATGTAGTGGTACATACGCGAAATGACGCATATGCACCCCACGAAATTTGTCGATTTCGTGGCAGCTTAATCGAACGTGTTCTCGAGATCAATCGAAAAAGGAATACAAAAATAATCGAGTTCATTTTCGACTGATGAACACGAGACAAGCCATATCTTGGTATTCGCGAATTTCCCGGTGCGATAAAATTTCATGATACGTATAACGAAATTTGTAATGTACCCTCACGATCGAAAAGTGGAGTTTAACACGGCCACGTTGCATGGTTAGAACATTGTCCCAGGTAATGTGTTGTCAGAGAGCTCTTAAATGTTTCGTGCTGGCAAAAACACGAATTTTCATTAACATTTATCGTTGATATTGTGATATTAAGTAAATCAAACTTTACAGAATCTACCAAATTCTAATTATACAAGCTATATTAATATAACATACATCTTTATCTTTCTTATACACTTGTCAATAGAAACCTTATTCCTTAAAAACGACCGATCATATAACGATAATAGATTGGTTTTTTAATACATGTATATCGAACATGATATGCCAGATCTACACAACGTTCGAGTATATAAATGTGTTTGGCATTCCCGATTTAACAAAAATCCGATCAGTTGTAATGTTCCAATTAATAGGTGACCCTATAAAGCATCCGAGAAAATATAAGATATTGATGCACTATTTGTTTAAAAGAGGGCACAAGAAAAATTAATGATGCCAAATTTCGCAAACAATAATGCTAGAAGAAATAGAAGCGATTGCACTATTAGGAATCATTGTTTCCAGATAAAGGAAACGCCATTGTTCTGATTACCAAATCAAATAGGATAAGCAATACCGAAGTGCGGAAAAAAAGGTGATATCATCAACAATAGGAAGGGTCAATGTATCGACGACGCCTGTAAGATCAAGGGTTTTCGATTTTTTTCATTTTCTTTTCGATATTTCACATCCCATCAACTTCCATATCAATTGATCCATCATCTAAAAAATCATACACTTAACAGTAAATCATCACCTTAAATTATATATTTCATCATTTTAATTTTTTCACACTGGATTTCTTATATAGGGTGTCTAACAGTTTGAGGCCTTTGCATGAGAGCAAGAATTAGTTTCCCAAATACCAATTAGAGAACAACCACCCACCACATAATAAACAACAAATCAATCAAACAATCAATCAATCACCTTTCTGTTGCATCACTCTTGCTGCCTTATAATTAGCGTGTCATCGCCTTCCTCAATTCTAGTAATCTCGATAAACCGAACATAGCAGGGTTCACACAATACTACAAGCAAATATTAAATATTATTTGATTATTATAATACAAAAAAGATTCCTAAAAAATAGTCGCATGTTTATAGACACATGCATTGAAAATTCCAAAATACCTACAGATAATATGCACCAAAAGAGTATACTACGCGCTGTAGGAGTTTGATAAAAAAAAATTAAACTCTGCATGACACGATTTTAACAATAATACTCCACGTACATACGTATTAATTTAACATCCTTTTCCCTGTCTTCCTTTCTAAGAGCACCCACCCGTGTCAACTTTCTCTTTCTCCTTCTCTTTTCCACGCATCGACTTTTTGTCTTAAAATTAGTTTTATATAGTCTCGTAAATTGCTCACGCGCAGAATTAAGCCCACGTATCGTACAAATCACATCAACAAATCAACTCGAATCAAATCTCAAGAACAATTTATCAAGTAATCAATCAATCAATCGACACATTCCATCTCAAAAGAATATAAATACGACCGATTAGCTCGTCGATTCATTTGTTGTGTTGTCTCTTTTTTCTCCAATATTTATACAATAAAGAGATATCATCAATTCCAATAATCAAAGCATCAATACACAAAAAAAAACTAATATCAATAACCAAAACAACAACAATAATCACAATAATAATACCTAAAACAACAACAAGAATAATAAAGAATCGTCATAATAATCACAAATGGACACCGGTAAAGGACTAGGAATTTACATTCCTTTAGAAAATGATGATAATCACGGGCAGCAGCAGCAGCAACAGAGAAATGATAATTCAATGATAGATACGCAAAGGCAAAATCAGCAACATCATCACGACTATCAACATCATCCTCATCCCAACAATGAGAATTTGCCGGTTGTAAATCATCATCAGTTGATTGTAAAAGAGAGGTAAATTTCTTATGATTCTTTTTCTTGTTTTCTTGCAATTGATTATCTTTCTTTTGAATAGATGGAGAGATGCCAATTCGAATCACCAACCTTCCGAAAATTATCACCAATCAAGACAAAATAATTGCGCCACGAATTCCGTTGAGAATGAATGCCAAAATTCAGAGAATAGGATCACGTTCTATAATAATACTATAACTCAACAACAATCATCCTCTGGAACCCCCCATTTTGTTTATCCTCGATATTTCTATGAATCTCATCACGGATATTTACCACCTCAACCATCCCAACACACCATGACTCATTATTATCATCATCAGCCACCGACATCGCAATCACAATCACAAATATCCGGTGATAATAAATATTCTACAATCCCAGCAGCCGCACAATGTTCGGCACTAGCATGTGCGAGTATCCCTCCACAATATGCGAATTCATTCTTACATCCACAACACATGAATCAACCTCTTCAATTCTATTCGCATCCAAACGTACCAAGTCATGCCATATCATTACCTCATGCTTATCCTTTACACCAGCCACAACAGCATCATCATCCACATCATCAAGTCACCTCTGTAGCCGCACAAAGTCTTCAAGAGTATGCGGCGTTGGCCTCTGCGGAGGCTAATTCGAATTTGGAACGTGCCCTTCTAAAAAAAGGTCGTAAATTTCCTACGTCACCATCAATATCGTCATCTGCAGATCTTAAATATGAGGAAACAAACGCGTATCATGGTTCAGCACATCAGCATCATCAACGTAAAGGTGATCAATTGAAATGTTCAAATTGTGGAGTGAGAGAGACACCAGCTTGGCGTCGTGATTTACAAGGAATTGCATTATTATGCAATAGTTGTGGACTATAGTAAGTTAATTTTTCTATTTAAATCTAATTTTGCCATTATTTTCATATTAGTTGTTAATTTGATCCAAATTTAGTCTAAAGAATAAAGGAGTCCATCGTCCCACCGAGCGTGCTCCCGACGGCACCATTAGACTCAAAAGAGCTTCGAAGCAAGAATCAGAAATTTCATGCAGTAATTGCCACACAAAGAATACTCCTTGCTGGAGAGGAAATCAAAATCATAAGTTGTGTAAGTTGATTTATTTTTGCCGACGAATTACCTCAACATCATCTAAGAAATTCTTATTTTAGGCAATAAGTGCGGATTATTCCTTAAAACGCATGGTTATCCACGTCCACCCAGTCCTGAATTGCGGGCCAGACGTGGTTTATCCACTGCTACAGCTGTGTTTTCAAGTACCAATAGTAATAATGACCATAATAATTCGACGACTGTCAACCGTGCAGAATCGCATCAGCACACTGATGTTATTCAAGAGCAAGAACAACAATCGATAGCATATTCTGAATCTCAATTGAAATCTCAAACACAACAGAACGAGTCTCAATCACCTCCGATCGTTGAACAAAATTATCAAAAAGAACAGCAGCACCAAAAAGAACACAGGCACACTGAAAAGGAGGCTCAACAACCATCAACAGACTCTGAATCTGGACTAGATCTCGATAACAACAAAAATAATTATAACAATAATATTTCAGATTCTTTAATGGAATTAGCAAAAAAGTTAGAACAATAATAGATAGCTTAATGTTGTTTACATTCTGATCTATCATCTATTGGTTAGAACCTAGACTATTTTTTAAATATATAGAGATTGATTTTACTATTTTTTTTTGTTTTCTAGCTTTATATTTATACGCTATATACTATCTTTTTTGTGTGATTTGTATTAAGAACTAGTCAATAGTGTCTTTTTGATAGATAGAAATTGCTGTGGTAGTATCTAACAAAACAGTAATTTTGACTTACCCGAAGAATCTTGATTGGAATAAGTGTGAAGCTTGTGTTCCTGAATCTTCTTGGATAAGATCAAGCTCTGTCGGTTAGAATCCAGCTATAGTTCATGGTAATTCCTATTTATTTGTATCTATTTTCGATCTATGATATGCTCAAATCCCTATACAACTTACTGGTTTTCATATTTGAATTAATTCTAAGTTCAAAGGGGTTAAATATATATAATTTGACTATCCGCAGTTTCTACACTTGAAGAGTATTAACTTTAATGCGTAATAATTGAAAACTTCGCAAGTATACGATAGGTATAATAATAAAACGTAGAAATTCTATCGATAAGTAAATACATGCAACTATCGCTGCGTTGGACTTGAGCTTCTCGAGTAATTCCATCAATCTCATTATCGTCATTTGTAAATCACAAATAGGGCAACATCAGTAAAACTTTTGAAGAAGACATGTATGAATGAAAAGTGTGAATTTATGTTGATAAAGAATTTAGTAAAGATTAAATCAGATGATCGTATTGGTATTGTTTATGACGCCAATGAACGGAACACTGGGACCATTGTTCCATTGGTTCGGTATAATCACTGGACCTTGGTCCCAATAATTTATTATTACAATGAGGACCAATTAACTTGGTCCATTGGTAAGTGAAAATATATGAAACGTGGACTAAAGTCCATTGGCTCCAGTATACGCACTGGACCGGTCCATTGACAACACTGGACTGGTTATGATTCACTTTACTGAATAGCGTAAGACTCAAGCACAGAACACCAAAAAAGGATATTTTGACGTCGCATTAAAGGTATTCAACTCCGTATTATCACATTGATGTTGACCATATGGAATTTCAAGAGATCCGAGTAATTTATTCCAGGTTTACTATTATGAATAAACAAAAATACGTCAATTTATAGTTTATATTATTTGAATTACGACTACTTAGTCGTGGCGTGACTTACATTTTAAATAACGGTTATAATATCTATATTACTAACTGACTTGGAAAGATGCTAAAAAAATATCAGAATTACGGGCGAAAAGTTCAACCACGCTTCTGATCCTCAATTTCTGATCCTAAAAAATCCTGTGTTTAAAGCTCTGTTCGGGTCGGGTTTTATCCGAAATCGTAAAATAGTTTTTCGCTAATAACTTTTATTTTTATTAAGACACTTGTATTTTGTGTCCGAGTTGTTCGGAATGTAATTGTGTATATACCCACAAATTTTTGTTTAACTCCAATTAATATTGAACGAGAAATAACGTTTTTTAGGCTGACCCGAAATATTTCGGGTCGGGTTTGACCCCAATTCGACCCGACCCGAAATGTGCGTTCCGAGTCTGGTCACGGATTGGACCCGACCCGGTTGGAGCATCCGCCAAAAGTTAGAAGGCAAAACTATCACTGCGTATAAGCTAAATAGCAGAGAGAGAGAGAGAGAGAGAGAGAGAGAAGTTTGAGAGTAGCACTACTCGTGCTCCTGATCCCCACGTGGTTACAAACCAATAAGGATGCCAAATTTTTTGAAAACAGATATCTAAATCTAGTTTGGAACACTAATAAAAAACTGTCGGTGAGATAATTTTACATATAATCTTGACCTCCACCTTAACCCTAATTAAACTTTAGACATGTTAACGTTAATTTTTTTATGATCACGTGGGGATAAAATTTTGTGTGAGATGGATCAGAAACATAGTTGAACTGGATCAGATTCAATGTTTTTTGTTATCGAGAGTGAGTTGTAGAGAACTCCCGTTTTATAATGATATCACGACATTGGACTTGTTTTAAAATTTGATATGATTAATTTGGAACCTTTTTCCTTAACGTTAATCTGTGTTACCAATATAATCAGAACAAAAATTTATATATATAGACATTAGATCACGAATCAAATACTGCGCCATAGCTCCAATTTGAAAATGCAGATTTTATGACGTATATCTGACCAATCAGATATATAAGATTTATGACGTAATAATTGATCTAACCAATTAAAGCTATTTATTTTCATGTATTATAATATAATTATTCTTTATATTTACAAAATCTATTGGTTGTTTTTTAAATTTCTATTTGAAAAATAATCCCTTATAGAGAACACAGATTGATCTAAATTAGTCAATTATTTTTAAAAAATACTAAGGTTTCATGGTTTGATACGAATACTTTTGTTTGGATCAAATATTGACAGAGATAAAAAACGTTTACTGAGTGTTCCGTTTCTTTTATGAGCCACTGTGCAAGTTCTATACTGGCAAATGACCAGGCGGTTATCGTTATCATTTCTTTGGGGATTGAGATAAATAGTATTTATAGCATTTGTTTGTTTGGTTTTGGATTTACGAACAACAAATAATATACAAGAGGACAACTGATCATTATCGTTATAAAAAATTCCGAATCAAAAACAGAAATCGATATCGATATTGATAATGTCTTTATACTTGCCATTTAACCAACGTTTATAGTTTAGCGAATCGTGTTATCGTTATTGATAAAAAGATCTGTATAAATTATAATAATACCACTCTAACTCTAATTTCTACTAGAATCGTGTTATTGATCTACATGTAACCCAATGATGTATATTTGGACTTCTATGAGATTAAATCAATTATGGATCCCATTCATTCCATTTCCTAGCAACCTCTTTAACCCCAGCCACGAATTGACTCGACAGATATCCCGTAGACTTCCTAATAACTTCCGCATAAAGCCAACCAATCAATGGTAAATTCTCGACAAGATCTTTCATGCTCCAAACATCTTCGTGTCTCACAATTTTTTTCTGTTCGTTGAACTCGAAACGAGAGATGGTGCGTAACTCCAGTTCTTGACGTAAAAAGAATAAGAGTCTTATTGGGAGTCGATATTTTATTATCGCATCGATTATGACAAGATGGTGATTACCAGCCGTGGCACATTCCGTGACACTGTGCACTTCCGGAGTTATACCAGGAAATACGGCCGCGAGCAGACAAAATTGTTGGATGATGTTTGAATGGCCTTGTACGTAAACAAGTGGATCCTCAAACACTTTTTGTTAGTCATTATCAAATTATAATTGATTAGTCATTTCCTTCAAATAACGTGAATAAAATCATGTTTCACTAAGAGTAAAATACCAGCATTTCCATCCATATATTGATATATTACAAGATCATGTAGATCTGTTCTCTTAGAGTATAAAATATTGTGCACTTCACGCGCAATCGCTTTATGAGATTTTGTTTCGTGTTGTTTATCAGCATCGCTACTCGATCCTATGTTTTCCATTTTATCGATTTTAGATCGTTGAGAAAAAAATTAATTGATCAGAGGGCTTTTATAACTAAATTTTTGAAACCGTGTGAATTTTCATATGAAAATCACTTGATTACTTCTCTCATGATCATCAAATGCAAACAATAGGGGTTGTTGTATTGGGGGGAGAAAGAGTAGGTTCTGACAGAATTCACGCGTCAACAAGTCGAGTAAATATTTTTCTAATAGCGATAACAATTTGTCTTTTAGTGCTAACTAAATGTGGACAATTCATTTATCGCGGTCTATCGTTATCAACATGTCATTCGGTTATAGTATGGCATTTGTTACCCTAACGAAATGCTCGAAAAATCTGCATTGCCAATTATTGATATTTCACCGTTCACGAGCACCCAACCCGTGAGTCGCCAAGCGAAACTCGAGACCGCTCGAGAAATTCATGCGGCATGTCGGGATGTTGGGTTTTTCTACTTGAGAGGACATAATATTCCACAAGACGTTTATGAGACAGCTCTACAACTTGGGCATGAGTTTTTTGAATTAGAAGGGAAGGAAAAAGCGAAACTTGGAATCGCAAATGAGGACTTTGCAAGGTTTTTATTTACTGATATCGTAGCATAAAGAAAGTTTATTAATTGGATAATAAAATTTCGAATTGAAGAGGTTATCAACGATTAGGCGAGAATGTAACAAGATATCAAAAAGATTGGCACGAGGTACGTCATCTTGCAAGATAAGGTTAATTTCTTTGATTATTAATAACGTTACTTTTTCTTGATTAAGGCACTCGACTTTTACAGGCCAATCCCGCGAACGCACCCGCTAGTAACAAACAATCAACCATTACGTGGCGAAAATCAATGGCCAACCCATCCGGAAAAATTCCGTCCATTTTTTGAACGGTATATTGAGTATATGTTAGATTTGGGTCAAAAAACGATGAGTGCTATCGCGTTGGGATTAGGACTCGAAGAGGATTTTTTTGTCCAGTTCCTGGATGAATCTTTTTGGTGTGTATATTAAAAATAAATACGTACGGATTTTTAAATTGAACTCACTCTGATACACGTTTAATATCACAGGGTAATGCGCGTTATAGGATACCCGCCTCTTCAAAGCTCTACAGGGAAAGATGGTATCGGTGTAAGCTGTGGAGAACATACTGGTCAGTCTCATTAATCACTCTTCTTGAAACTTTTCTTTAATTTATTTAATTGTTCAAAATTTCAACAAATAGATTACGGGTAAAAGATGTAGTTTATTAATGGCACTATTGATTAAAATTTCTCGTGCTCTACTAAATTTCGAGTTGTTTTAGATGTTTAACATTTTTGCTTCAGGTGATTTTTATCTCAAGTTGGCATTGATTGTATTTCCTGAAAAACCAAGTATTTCAATTTTCGTCTGAATTAATTAGGATAACATAAAAGGATCTTTACAAGTAAAACGAAAGAAGGCGATTGGATATTTGCTGATCCAATACCTGGGACATATGTCGTCAACATTGGCGATATGTTGAATGTATGTACATGTATGTAAATTCAAGAGGATGATTATTTATTATTCTAATACTTCGTTTTCAGGTCTGGACAAATAACGTGTATCAAAGTACCTTGCACCGAGTAATTCACAGAGGTGATGCATATCGCGTATCGTACGTATCGTGTTTTATGTTTTATTTGTCAATTTGATCATAAAATGAATCGATTTACATCTCTCACAATTTTCAAATTAGATGTCCATTCTTCTATGAGCCAAATTTTGATGCACTTATTGAACCACTCCACCCTTGCCTTAAACTTGATCCGGTTAAACACCACGATCCAGTTGTGTATGGTGAACATTTGCTTCGAAAGGTTTCGTCCAATTTTGAAATTACTGAAAACTAATTTTAAAAGAATTGGTTCCAAGTGCGCGCGTATTATCAATTTTGTATATTGTCACTTTATACATTATGTATCAAATTAAAGATTATCAATCGATGAATCAACATATCTAACTGTCTATATTAAATCCTGAGATACTAGTAATTGTATTTTTTGAAATTATTACGAAAAAACTACATATGGAAATAGCACCTACCCTCTACGACCTCCCTTCAATTCTTTTCAGATGCTCCATCGAGCAAGCATATTTATAATTCTTTACACTTCGGTATTTTTTCAGGTTCTTGCATCCAGGCTGAGAACAAAGCGGTATCGGAGGAGGATAGCTATCAATCGCAATATATATCATCTAATCAATAAAAAGTTCGTATCTTCCTCGATTCATACCAACAAAAAAAAAACACTTACTTTGGTCCTTGATCAAATGGAATAGGTATAGAAACACCAATCGGAGCCGAGAGTGTGCTTCCCTCTCTATTGTTGACATAATGAAATGTATTGGTTACCAATGACTTTCGTACACCACCGTCCTTTTGATTCTCTTGATTAAGATCGGTGTCCTCTTGCTCTTTACTACGTCTCTTGGTATTTTGTTTTTTCAAGAGACGATTGATAGTGTCCATCTTTATTTGGCAATTAAAAAAGTTAATGAACTATTTAGAAAAGAAGTTTTTTGATAATGAATTTACTTTATCTTGTTCTGCACGCTGAATACTTTGATGTTTTCTTCGACGCGCAGTCTCCGATTTTCTCAATGCGATCTCCTCTTCAGTGAGATGCTTTTTTCGCGTCGGCTCTGGATAAAAAATATTTTTAACAAGAACCATTAACTCATCCAAACATAAAAAAATAAATAAAATACCCATGGGCAATTCAAGCAAGTCATGCTGATATTCTTCATTAAGTTTTGCTCTTTGTCGTTTTGTCAATATCAGTCGTCCACCTTTTTTTGATGATTGTGTAGTAGTATTTGACGAAGACTCGGGAACACTATCACTATCCGAATCCATGTTGGAAACAGATGAATATTTTTACTTTTAAAAGAGAGCAATAATTCATAATAATAACACACTCACTTGGCTATTTATGCATAGAGAAGGGATATAAAGATAGAGATCAGATCAGAATAATGATATTTAATTTAATTTGATAAAAAGCAATAGCCAATGCTATCTTTACCTTTCTTTTTCACTTGTTTTTGCTGCAGACGCGTCGATCTAGCCGGAGGTTTCCGCTTTGCCTTCGATTGTATTGACCCCATAGATCTTGCTCGTCCTCCTTTCCTTCCAGATGGTTGTATTTCAAAATCACTAAGATCTTCCTCCTCCTCGTCTTCCTCCTCTTCCTCGTCGTCATCACTTGGCTCGTCATATCTTTCTTCTTCACTCTCATCCTCGCCAAGTTGCGGTGTCCCCTCCAAATCAACTTCCTCGTCCTCCTCTTCTTCTTCACCCTCTGCATCCTCCTCGCCAACCTCAATTTGCTGCTCCTCCATTTCCTCTAGTTCTTCGTCGACTTCCTCTTCCATTTCTTGATCTTCGTCCAATATTATATCCTCCTCGAATTCTTCAATTTCGTTTTCGGGTTCTTCTTCGGCAGTATCTTCAGACAAGTATGCTTCCTCAACACGATCCTCCGTTGTTTTCTCTTCAGAGGATACAACCGACGCTGCTTCAGATTCTACTTCACCAGTGTCCGACACACGATTGTATACCTTGGGTGGTTCCGGTTCTCGACGATAATTGGCGTTACGTCGGGCAGGACGCTCACGTCTCGTTGATGGAGCTCGCATATTTTCTTATCGATTATTATATATGATATAAACTTTCTCGGTTACGTATTAATATTTTTTTTAGGTATTGTTATATATTATTATATGTTATTATATTATTATATGTTATTATATATTATTATAGTTATATATATTATGTTATACATGTAATAATTAATCTGTACGTATACACGTTAATGATGTCATCCGGTAACCTTTTCTGTAAAAAAAGACACACATATATCTTTTAATCACGCCAAAGATGACAATTTTTTTCGTCTTCGCCTTCGACGCTCTAGTAATATCACACGTCTTGAATTTAAGATAATATGAGCAAATTAATATCAACACCACCACTTGTCAGCTTAAACCCGGCAAAAAGTGTTCAAGAAGGTGACTATTGCTTTTGTACGAAGGATAATCTAAATTTATTTATTCAATTAACGTTAATCATCTCGTTCAACAGTCGAAATACGTCTTCACGAACCCCTTATTCAAAAGCCCGGCTCTCGCAAAAAACGAATAGGCTTGCAAGTATTAAACGCACTTACCAGACTTGAGCTCCTGTTAAATAAGGAAGAAGCATTCGCGAGTGCTGATCAAGAGGTTCAGAATATATCCCAGGTTAATAGCGCTTTTATATTATGTACCATGTGCCATTATTAGTAAGCCCGTAATAGCCAAGTGCCTTATCGTGCAACAAACTCCGTAAGCAGTCTTACCGTTTTCTCTGGAATCTGTTGGTCCAAAGACCGGAAGTTGTTGGAATTTTCAATAATTGCAACCTTGGCCTTCAATTCTCTAATTGGTGTATTCTTTTACTTTTCATTTATCATTATCGTCTTGATTGATCTCGGTCATTGTTTCATTACAGCAACAATATAATAGTACCGAAATTGATAATACTATCAACATGCTATTAACATCATTGCCACAGCTGGAGGAAGAAGCCATAGCGATGAAAAAAGATATGAAGGTAAGAAAGAGAAGAAAATACTAAGATTGCATGTAATGAAAGATCTCCTCTACATTATGGTTATTCATTGCAGTAGTTTTGATGATTAGACTTATATAACAGAATTAGGTCTTGCCTCGCTTTTCCCTAAATCCGCACGAAGGCTGGTCGTATCGAAGCTTGGGACCGGAACTGTGGATGTACAAGGTATTACCAAATTTTTTGATCGTTGATTTTTACGTCAATGTTTTTAACGTGATGATTTTATTGGTCTTTTCATTAATCTTTAATTTTGATTTTTGATGTACAGCGCATTTTATTGAAATGACGCTTATCAATCAACTCGTGTCTATTTCTTTGCAACTCCAGCAAGACACAAAACTCGAGAATCACTTTTATATGGCACATCAAATAGCACTATTATATGTACGTGACTCTCCGATTTTGATTCCAATTATTAAAAATGTTGTCTAGAGATGACGCGCTTTATTATATCTTACTAAATTTAGCAATGCCTAGCTCAAGTTGGACAACATTTTCTCAAATATAAACCATGCGTCGAACTACATTTTGATGCGATAAAATCGTTGACAAGCCGTTCAAAAGAACCACACATGAATGAAGAGCAAAGAGAATGGTAACGTATAAAGAAGAATTAATGAAGTAATTCCGTAATTGAAATTAACTATTTTATTCCTCCTCAGGTTATCTCAATTAACAGCCGATATTGTGACTGAAGCATTATTCAGCGGTCGGCCTTTTTCTACCGTATCAGAACCTCTAGCCAACTACATGACGCTAATTGGAAAAGTAGACACCCCACCTATTCCAGAGTAGAGCAATAACAAAGATACACATAACAAAAACCCAAATCTTTATATTTAACATAATGGTATTATTATGATTTAATGCTTGAATTTTTCCGCTGTCATAAAGTAGTTTACACTAAGTCTAAAGTGATTCTTTTCATCAAATTCTACCCATTCTTCTGTCGCAAGGTTATACCAAACACCCGTAATATCTGTAACCCGTAAGGCATCTTTTTTAGGATCATTACCTTTAACCGAAATCTCCGTGACTTGCAAGTCATCATCTTCATGCAAAAAACTATTATAGTCGTTTTCAATCGTATCTTTCAATTCTTCTGGCATTATATACTTTAAATAATCGTGAGTCTTTTCCGGAACTATTCTCAAAAAATTCTCCGCTATTAAAATCGTGAGTAGATATGATAATGGCGTTCGCGAGATCGTGGATAGAATCAACTGCCCACCGTCAGGCTAAAAATTTTATTTTTCATTATTGTTATTATTCGAATAATATACATTGATCAATCTATTACCTTTACTAATCCCGAACATGCTTTGATAAATTTTGTCGAGTCATCGACGTGCTCTATAATTTCCATTGCACATACTAAATCGAATTTTGGTTCATTTTCTTTTAAGAGTTGTTCGATTGTTGTGCAGCGATAATCTAAACTACCAGGTCCAATAAAAAGTGCAGGATCTTTTTTGGCATGTAGTTTTGCAACTTCTATGCCTTGACTGGACGCATCTGCCCCTATTACAGTGGCACCTAATCGAGCCAATGGCTTTTTATATTTAATTCAATTAAATCATCAGTCGTCAACTTGCTTTTTTTAGATTTATACCTCACCTCTGACAGAATTCCACCTCCACAACCAATGTCTAAAATTTTGAATCCTCTCAACGGATAAATCTGCGCATTCTCATCCTGACTTTGCTTTTGTGTTTTTAGTAATTGTTTTTTAATGTACGGTATACGAAAGCCATTCATACGATGCAAAAGCCCAAGTGATCCATTAGGTGACCACCATTCATGGGACAAATTATTGAACTTTTCAAGCTCAGTCGCATTGACTGTGATCGAAGCAGGATCATGTTGGTGTTCTAAATTGTCTCGTACATTTTCTTGCCAAGGTGAAATTGTACTTGATCGTGCAGATAATATTTTGTGAGCGTAGTAATAGGTATCATGAATACAAAAGTGATATATAAAACTGTGATTCTTTGTTTACCTATGGATTGAACGATTAATTGGTGTAAAAAGTATGCGAGAAAAACTACGACGGCTATGATTTGTCCAAGGTGAAAGACGCTGTTTGACAGAGTGAAAAGGAAGCATGTTCGACACAGTTCTATGTAATTTTACAATAGATGTTTATCGTATATCCACAGTGCTGCGCCACTCGACAAAAGTTTGGTCGGCACTAAGATAACGTGACAATGCTACAATGAACCCGCTTAGAACTAAGCAAAAAGTTGGATTTTAGAGAAGTTTGCTTGTAATGAATCATTTGAATACATATATGCAATAAAGAAGCTTGAACTAATATTTGATAATGACAAAACGTGTTTTCTAAAATTTCATTAAATAATATTAATAAATATTTTGGATTAATTCAATCAAATCAAGTTGTGTTTTATTTTTAAATTCTTTTTTTGTAGATAATACAAATATTAAAATATTTTATATTAATTATTGTTTTTATAATTACATTATCAATAATTATTTTCTAAAAATGTTTTATTATAACTAGTTTCGAAAAGAATATAATATAGTTATCTTTATCATGTATATAACCTAGTCATATCAAATCACATAATTACAATCTCAAATTTAAGAAGTTAATTATTTTATCCAAGTTATTATATATAATGCCAATTAGAATTTGCATAAAAAATAATAATGTATTTTTGCATGATAAAATTCAGCCAATTAAAAATAGTTATCAACATAATCATGTGACTTATAACATGGTACAAATTTATGATAATAAAAGTAATAAATTATTATTATATGAAAAATTAAAAAAACTAAAATTAACTTTTATAAAATAAAAATTAATAATCTATTCTATTAATTTTTAAATATTTATAATTAAATTATACAGTGATTGCAATTTTATTAATAAATATTTTTTATTTTTATATCAAAGCAAAAATTATAAATTATAATTTAATATATATTTTTCTGAACTTTCTAGATTTTTTATAATTAATTTTATATTTTAATTATAAAAAATTTTTGCAATAACTTTGCAATTAGAATAACTTTGTCAAAATAATCTGGAAAAAATATATATTAAACTATAATTTATAATCTTTGTTTTAATATAAAAATAAAAATTTTTATTAATAAAATAAAAAATTTTTATATAAGATAAAAATTTTAATTTTTACTATATTTTATTAATAAAATTACATGTGTAATTCTATAATTTTATTAGTTATTGTATGTACTTTATACAATAAGAATTATATATTATATTAATGCTCAAAATTATAAAATTATATATATAATTTATTAATAAAATATATTAAAAAATAAAATTTTTGTTTAAAAAAGTTTTATTAAAATAAAAATTGAAAATTTTTCTTATAATAAAATTTTTATTAATAAATATTTTTGTTTTTATATTTTAAATTTAATATTTAATTATAAAGTTAATTATAAAAAGTTTGTATAATTAATTTTATAATTAAAAATTAAATTAAAAAATCTATAAAAAATATATAGTAAAAATATAAAAAATATAAATTTTTTTCTTATATAAAATTTTTTATTTTTATATTAAACTAAATATATTTAATATATATTTTTTTCAAATTTTTTAAATTTAATCTGACAAAGTTATTTTAATTATATATAATTAATAATTTTTTTATAACAAAAATATATAAAAAATTATTAATTTTATATATAATTTAAATAATATTATTAGATTAAATCTAAAAAATCTGAAAAAAACATGTTAAAATATATAATATTATTTTTATTTTAATATAAAAATAAAAAATATTTATTAGTAAAATTAAAAACTTTTATATAAAAAAAAATTCATATTTTTTATATTTTTAATTAATATAATATAATATTTAACACTTTATATAAAATAAATTATATTATTTAAACTTTTAACTGCACTCAAAATTGACCAAAATATATCAGTCAAAAATTACAACAAATTAAAATTTATATTGCAATAATATTTGAATATTATACTAATAATTATTACTTTATTAATATATTTATATAATTTATAATAATTATATTATTTATTTATATTATAAATATTATATTTTAATATTAGTAAATTATAGCAATTAGTTTAATTAATAACTTAATAAAATATTTATTATTTAATTACTTGAATTAAAATTAAATATTAAATTACATAATAAAATATATTAATTAACAAAAAATATTATAATAATAAACTTATTTATAAATTTAAATATAAAATATATATTGATAATTATTTTATATCAAATATATTATATAATTTTGAAACTATTTTTAATTAAATTCTAAAGAGTAATAAACTCTATTATAAAAATTAAAATTAAAATACCAATTATAATATAATATAATAATACTAATTTCTAAAAATATCTAATTATAATATTTAATATATAATTATAAAATATTAAATTATAATAATATTTTAAATTTTTGTTTATAAAACTATCTTTTATTTTCTAAAAAAATATTTATTGTAAAATTTTATTATATATTTTTTAGTTTATATATAATTCTAATTCTAATTTTAACTAATTTTATATATATACTTCTATATTATATTATTAGAAATTGAAAAAAAAAAACATAATAAAACATAGTAAAATTGACATTGTTTCTTATATTAAAATTTGTTATTAAATATTTTTTATTTTTATACTAAAATAAAAATAATAACCTATATTTTTGATATATATTCTTTTAGAATTTTTTGTTCACTTATAAACAATGAAAATAATTTTTTATAATTAAAATTGCAATTTTTTCAATTTTAATTATAAAAAATTTTTTTTCATGTTTATAAGTGAACAAAAAATTCTAGAAGAATATATATCAAAAATATAGGTTATTATCTTTATTTTAGTATAAAAATAAAAAATATTTAATAACAAATTTTAATATAAGAAACAATATCAATTTTACTATATTTTACTATTTTTTTTCAATTTCTGGTAATATAGTGTAGGGGTGTGTATAATTAATAATTATTACCAACAATAACAAATATATTTTCTCAAAAATATATTTCAAGAAAAATAATATTTACTTTAATAATAATTTTTGTATTTATAATAATTGACAAAAATTTGAATAAATTATATCAATTACGATTATATTTTTTGAATTCTAATTATTATAAAATATAAAAAATTTAATCTTTATATAATTACAAACTTTAAAATTATTTGTCTATACTATATGTATATGTATTACACCAAACAGGATTATCGTTGTTATATTTACTGCTCATTATATGTATATCTATCGGGTGACCTACTAAACAATGCGTGAGAAAGCCTGCTCGATGTCGTCGTGGGAATGCTTTTGTGGCTCGTGGAAATACATGTACCACGTTTAAATCTTCATCAATTTAAGAAGGATTTTCAAATTACTTACCGCGATGACCTAATGTACTTTTACTAATGGGGCATGTAATTACAACATTATGCATCAGACACTTTATCAAGCCACAAAATCAATCATTTCCCATTTTGATTAAAAGTTGTCATTTGTTGTATCCCCAACATGCAGACATTAATAGATGTGGGTTTGCTAATCGTTATAAATGAAACCAATCATTTTTTTTCTTCCCCAGGTTTTGAATAACTGAAGGTGTTACGATTTTTTTGCCACTCCCTTATACTGTTACCGAGCGGTTATTGTCCTTTTGTTGTTGTTTCAGCGATAATATTTGTCTGCAGTCCTATGAAACGGACGGACGTTACTTTTTCCCTTGGATTCTTTATTGCGTAAACTCAATTTGGGACTTTGTCTGAGAGATTCTGTCGAATAATAAACAATAAGTGACAAAGACACTCCCTCGCTTACCTTGTATTGATAATATATTCGAGATGAGCACAAGTATGTAAAAATACAATAAACTAGCATTTTATGAAACAAAGGAAAACCTGTCATGGTGAAAATACGAAATATAATCATTTGATTAAACTTTATTTTCTCCCATTTTTTTGTGGTTTAGATACACGTATTGCCTGTGTGGTTTGTATTATTGAGCTTTCCTTGTTTTAATTGTGATGATTACTTTGTCCGATACACGTAGTTAATAAAGACAATCGAATGGTTTTTAAACACGTATATTTATTATTGTCTCGTAATGTTTCAGATGGTTGGATTGCCTGCTCGCGGCAAGACTTACATTGCACAGAAAGGTATGTAGCGTAAGACTATTTTTGATTTTATTATTATTACCAATCCCTTGTTTTCAACATGCCAGGAATGACCAAATGAAACGTCACCGCGCTCCCAAATTTCAATATATGTATTCAAGTAATTTTCTTTCGTTTGGACGCGATCATTCTTCTCTTTCCCGTATTTGTCCTCTTGGACTATATCTCTATTAGTGTGTCGTTACCTACAATGGCTCAGCGTCACAACAAAGGTGTTCAACGTTGGTAATTACAGACGTAAGTTGCATGGTGCCCACCAAGAGCATACTTTCTTTGATCCTGCCAACAAACAAGGGGAAATCAAACGTCGTGAATGTGCCACCGAAGCATTAAATGATATGATTCGATGGTTTGAAGTAGAGTCGGGAACGGTTGCCATTTTTGATGCCACCAATTCCACTCGTGCACGTCGAACCTTTATCTTAGAAGCATGTGCCAAACACGATATTCAGGTCATGTTTATTGAATCGGTGTGTCAGGACGAAAATTTAGTATTGCAAAATATCATGGAAGTGAAGTTATCCTCGCCTGATTATAAGGATATGGATCCGGAAAAAGCAGCAGAAGATTTCCGTGCCAGGATTTCGCATTACGAAAATCAGTACGAACCGATTACCGAGAAAGACACAACTTATATAAAGTTGATCAATGTCGGCAGTCAGGTTGTACTTAATTTAATTCAAGGTTACCTGCAGAGCAGGATTGTGTATTACTTGATGAACTTGCACATATTGCCAAGAAGTATCTTCTTCACCAGGGTGAGTTTGATGATAGTCCACTTGATTTTTCTTGTTCCATACCAGTTTCACGATGATTGTAGTAGTATATATTTATAATATTTTGTGTGATGAATAAGGGGAAAGAAAATTTTTTTGCAGTTTCAGATTAGTGGATTATCTCGAATTTTTAATTTATTTTTGAGCAACTTTACTAAACTCATCCTCTTTATCATCTTTAATTGGTTACGGATTTACTATTTTGGGGAAATAGCATGGCGAGAGCATGTTTAATCTGATGAGTAAGATTGGTGGTGATTCTGAGTTGTCGCCACGAGGTCGGCAATATGCTCATGAGTTACCGAAAGTGATTCAAAACTATCTAGGAGATCAGAAATTAACAGTTAGTATTACCCTTCCCGGTTGATTTCCAATTGTGAATTCGCGCGAGATTTGCTAGTCTTTGCTTTTTTTGAATTAATTAGTATGATCATTATTAATTGTGTTTTTGGCGCAAATCTATTCACCTGACAGGTCTGGACTTCAACAATGAGACGTACAATACAAACAGCTGAAAGTCTGCCATATCCGAAATTGCAATGGAAGGCGCTAGATGAATTAGATGCAGGTGTCTGTGATGGGATGACATACGAAGAAATTGAGGTACTCACTACTGCTGCTGCTGCTTTTTTGTTTTGGTATATTGAGAACAATTATTGTTCCTTGTTAAGAACAATCATCTGTCCATTTATCGGTCTATCTCTATATGCTGTGTTCGCTTACGCTGTGTGTTTATGTGCGACATTTAACATGTGTGCTGATCAACGACGACCAATTTTTTTTTTGGGTTAATTCTTTTGTTCATAGGCGGAATATCCAGAAGACTACGCCAATCGAGACGACGATAAATTTAATTATCGATATCGGGGTGGTGAGGTGATTATTATTGTTACTGTTATTATTATTATTATTATTATTATTATTATTATTTGTTGTACATTATTTGTTTTAACTGCAATAAATACATTTTATCGACTTGAATAAAAAGACAATAGCTTAAATGAAGTAATTGTTAATTTTTTGTGTTTATTAATTAAATCAAATACAGTCTTATCGCGATGTAGTATTTCGTCTGGAACCAGTAATAATGGAACTAGAACGACAACAAAACATCCTAATAGTTGGACATCAAGCGATCCTCCGTTGCATCTATGGATATTTTCTTAATCTGCCACAAGATGATCTACCCTATATCAAGATACCACTTCACACGGTCATCAAACTGACACCAAAAGCTTACGGATGCGATGAGGTTCGATACAAGGTTGACGTCGATGCGGTCGACACGCACAGGCCAAAGCCACTCAAACTGAAGAATACCAATGTCAATCCTATCAATTCTATCCCGGCAACGTCAGTGCTCAGCAATGCGTTTGCCTCTCTAGATGCACCGATTCTAAAGAGAAAAAAGCTGGATGTGTAACGATGCAGGATGTTGGATATTGTCTTTTCATCTTTTTCTTAGTTCTTTGAGTGATTATGTGGAGAATCGGAAAAATGCGCGCGTTTTTTTGATGTACGCCGAACATTTGGAATATTTAAAGGAGATGACGGTGGTAATAGTATGAGTGCGATGAGGTCGTTTTCTTTTTTTAGTTTCCTTTGTTTTCATTGCTATTATCTTTTAAAAATAAACTTTCTTTTTTGCGTAGAGAGTAGGAAGAAGTTATGATATTTTCATGCACATTATTATTTTTTATTATACACACCCTAAAATATATGGAACAGATTGATGATGAAGAAAATAATGGTGACGAGTGATAATATATTATCTCTATCACTATCGTCATCATTTATTACTTTAATTTAATTTTTGTTATCACTTTGTTTATAATCATCCTCAATAATCACATTCAAAAAACAACATCTTTAAAAAGTATTTCTGCATGTAATATATTATATTATATTTATTATATTTTATTTTATTTTATTATGTTATGATTATTATTTATTATTTATAGTTAGTTATTATGTACGTGTATGATGGTTGGTTTGTTGGTGGGGTCGATTGATTGGCGGGATCTACTCTCAAATTAACAAAACTATAACAATAACTGATAACAATATTATAAGATTCAAAAAAAAAATAGTCGTGATGCCATTTCTGATTTATGTTTTTCGTGTCGCCATTATAATTTTTTAGAATGCATACATGGCACATGAGTGGAGATGTGGGTGGAGTGGAACAATTATTGTGATGGATAATAGATAATGATGTGTGGGGTGTTGGAAGTAAACGTATGTATGCGAACACAGCATCATCGCATTCTAAAAATTTTAAGGTAGTCGAGTTTGGTTTGGTAGGATGTACGGGTGTCGGTGTGTGGATTATTGCTATTGTGAACGATGAGGCGCTTTCTTTTTTTACATGTGCGTAGGCAGAAACTGAAGTTTTCTTTGTTCTTATGATTATTTATTAGTATGCTATCAGAACCATTGATTCATTGAACAAGAAAATAAAAGCGGGAATCAATCATATATATATGTGTGTGCGTAAAGTTAGATTTGACGTTTTGGCATACACAAGAAAACCCTAATTGTCGCCGATTGATTGTTGCCAGAATAAGAAGCAATCAGATGTGCCCGCCATGAATTATAAGAACGCGCATTACCATTGTTCTTGCGTGTGCGTGCGCGCAATTTTTTTGATATTACAGAATTGGAATCGTGATTACAACGACGAACAGACAACTAAAGGATTGATGCGTGTATGCGTCTCATCGTATAATGGTCGAATTTAATTCTGGGTCGATTGAATCACAGGAAGTGGTTTATTATTATTACCACCGTGATGCCATTGTTCGACGATACAAGAATCGAAAAACGTGAGCGGGAATTTCGCTTTTGGACGGCACTTTTTTACGCGCGCTCGCTCGAACTTGTTTTTATAGTTGATGGTGGTGGGAGGTCTGAAACGCTAACGTTACGACATGCAGCGGTGTGGTGAGATTATACGCAGCATTGTTCCCTGTCTTCTTTTTGCGTGAAGAAACAAGAAAAATTCATGCAAGAGATAATTGAAACAAGCGAACAACGACGCGCGCGAATTCCTACTGTAGACATTCTCAGAACATCGATTTCTGGGAGTCTGATTGGTTGCATTCGAGGTTTGACGAATTTTTCATCATCCAACTTAAAAAAGATTTTGAATTTCATTCATCTATCTACCAAATATATCCATATCAATATCCATTGTGTGAGAATGATCACAATGATAACACAGGCGAGGTTGCATATATATTTATGATGAATGGATGGTCGGTCGTCCTCGTCCTCCTTGTCTCATTTATTCTTTTTTTTCACACCTTGTTCTCTTGCGACACAAAATCTCACTTTACTTTATCCCCAATCCAACCTACTATTCGCCCTCCATAACCAAAGAACCGAACGCACATCAAATGACAACACCACTACAAATTACAATGACCAGAAAAAAACTCCCGCCCATCCTCCACCTTTTTTCTTTGTTTTTTTTTTTATTTCTACAATATAATCTATGTATATATACATATATAAAATCTAATATCCCACATAAATTATCCGCACATATAAATTTACGTTCAAAATAATCATTACATAACGCACATACATATACATAGATACGTATATATCCATTATATAATATATTACACTGTACATATAGTCGGCGAGCTTCCCGCTGTCATCCTCGCTGTCGTTGTTCTCTAGCTCGTTGTTTCTTTTTTTATTTGATTTGATAATTTTAATCTTAATTTAGATTTGATTCTCTCTTTCGTTCTCTTCTCTGGCTGTATAAGTACCTCCACCCAAAGTTTCCCGCCTTTAATTATAGATTCTTGTCGTTGAATAAAAGAAAGAGAAAGAGAGAGAATATATATATATACACTTACATTGTATTACTAAACTATAATTATTAAAAAAAATCTTTTAGATGATTACGCTTATTTAATATCTAATAAAAAACACGTTTATTTTAACATCGAATAAAAAGCCTTCAAAAAAAAATACAATCGCAACGACCTTTAACCTTACATACTACACACTTTGACAACCCACTTTAAACTCGACAATAATAACACCCCTAAAGATGTCGCACTACCCCTCTTTGGTGTTTACACCGTCCCAGGCATACCACCCTTTTTCCGCAATGTCTCCTCCATATCCCCGAGCAGCTATTCATAGTGGTAACGACATCCATAATAGTAGCAACAGCAGAATTCCACACATATATTCACCAACGCCGCGTTATTATTATGTGTCCACCGATCCAAAAGCTTACCAAATTAGCTCTGGATCTCATAATAGCCGCAATAGCGACTACCACAGCAATAATCCGCACGCGTCTGACTCTTTTATCAATTTACCCCCTATCCTTGATAATAATCCTAAGATACCTTCAGGACGTTTGCATCAAACTATTACTCGTAGCGATAATTCGCCTCCGATTTACGGCACTTCGCCGAATAGCAGTCGACGAAGCAGCGATTCGGGTAGTAGTATTAGATCGATTGCTTCACCAACAACCACCGATTCGCCCGCTTTGATCAATAATCATCATTTTCCTAACAATTCACCATCACGTCATAGTGTTCGTGATACACAAATGTATAACAATCGCCCATCAAACATCATTACGCATTCACCTATCTCTCTCACAGACAATAACAATACTGATAGAATCAACGAAAAGAATCCCAATAACCGTCGTTCTTTATCTAGTGACGTGGAGGAGGAACCCTCTCGACAGAATAAGAAGATTAAACCTTATCATAGCAGCGATGAATACGATGAGGAAAATGATGATGTTGATGATGACAATGCTGATGCGGACGATGAGGAGGAAAATGACACGTGGGTTTTTTTCTTTATTTTTCTAGCTATTGAATTTGATTTTATCTTATTCTTAATTTATTGAACCTCTTGAAAAACAGCATACAGGCATCAAACCCAAAAATTCATATTATGGCTCATTCAAACAACTATCAATCATCATCAACAACTAATCCTTCGCCAATCATATATAGTGGATCTAGTGGAAATGGTGGTGATGAACCTCCAAATCATCACCCGGAAAATCCTCCGCAACAAGTATTTAGACAAAATAAAGGTCTGCGACAGATTAGCAGACTAGTATGCGAGAAAGTACGAACGAAAGGAACGACAAACTATAATGAGGTTAGTCTTGTTGTTGGTTGCATGTGCTACGATGGAAATCAAGTCGTTGATCCTCCAATAAACAAAACTTTTTGGCGTATTATTTTTGACATTTTTTTCGAGTGCATCATGTACGATGTATCTGTTTTACGAGTTATGCAGTTTTCCATACTAACCAATCTATCTTCCATTTTGTAACTCATCAATGCATTAGGTTGCAGATGAACTCACTGAGGAATTTGTCTCGCATCCCCAAGATAATGGCAGTGTATGTAATCTCGATATGATTACTCTAACATGCATGCTTTATTGATGTACTCGCGTGGATTTTCATCCTTACTTTGTATTACGCAAGCTTACTAAATCCCTGATTTTTCCCTGCCCAAATAGCAAAAAGTTGACCAAAAAAATATTCGGCGCCGAGTATATGACGCACTAAACGTGCTTACCGCGATGAACATTATAGTAAAAGATAAGAAGGAAATTAAGTGGCTCGGATTCCTCGGTTACAATAACACCTATGATTACAATGATCCAAGTTACAATAATACCCATGACAATACCCATGATAATAATGACCCAGGTTCATCGACGTCGTCATCTGTGACGAACAATCATAATGCCGAAAATGAAAGGGGAAAGGCTGAGATTGAAGAATTGGAGGTAATTCGATCAAGTTTATTTTATTTCTATAACTGGTTATTTCAAGTTTTTGCCTATTTAAATTTCTTGGCGGGAGATCGACCGATTTGCTATATATATTTTTATGCTATATTTTATGTTATTGTTATTTTTTATGCTATATGTTAGTATACTCATATATCTAATTTTATATATAAATTTTGCGTGACTGGTGATTGATGATTACAGCGTGAAATCGAGCGTGCAACACAAAAAAGGGATAAAATCCAAAATGAAGTACAAAAGAAAACGCAATATGTGAGTAGATTCAATTAAGCTAATTTGATTGATATTTACGATAAACTAATTCTAATTTAAAACGTAATGATTTTTTTTTTGTTTAACGTTGCAGCACATATTGGCTAACAATCTTGTAAGAAGAAATGCGTCTCGACGCAATAGTCATCAGATGAATGACAAGCATTCTAAGATATATCTTCCGTTTACGTTGATAAAGTGTGAGCCGGGCACAAAATTTAATATTGAGTCATCACAAGATGAGTATGTATATAAGTGTGATTTATGAATATCCATTGTTTTAAGATTCAAACGAATGGATGCATAATAAGCTTAATCGGGAAATATTAATTAATTTTATAAATAAATGTAGTGACGCCTTGCGCACATTGACATTCTCTCCATATAAACCCACGCTTATCCAAGACACAAGAGTTCTGCAGGCACTTGTTCCCGATAACCAAAATGATGAAGTATCAATTCAGTGGGTTTCTTCGTCGGGCTCACATCCTTCGAATCCTCTTCACTACCACCAACATCAACAGCACTCAAATTTTCTCGTGAATAACGCTAGTAATAGCGGTGGTAAAGGTAACGGAGGCGAAAGTAGTTATTATCATCGGAATAATGGTAGTAGTAGTAATAGTAGTATTCGAAGAAGTTTAGATCACCACCAACATTTCAATGAATTTTACAACACATCAAGGAATGTCGACAATTATCAAAGGGGTGCGATGGAAGTGGAGTGAAGGTTTTCAGAGACTTATTTATATATCAATATCACCATCATCATCTCCTTTCTTTTTCAATTCGGGAAGTCGGTCAGTCAGCAAGAATAGGTAAATTTTTTAATTCTTCTTATATATTTGATCATCTTGCTCAGCTGATTGTCATACGTGATGAAACTTCAATTAATTATTATTTTATTGTCTTCTGCAATAAAAGATATATATTTTACATAATAGGACCAGTCGACATTTCATTATCTGCATCTCAAGGCGTAACAAACCTCACTTATTCATTCATTCGATATTTAATTAATTATTCATTCTGTCACTCCTTTTCTGTCGAGATTGTTTTCCGCCAAACGTCATCAACATCATCATCACTAACAACAATCATAATAATCATCGTATGCACACACACAGAGACGCATACACAATCCTATTTTCCCGCCATATCTCCCATGTGACAAACAATTATATATAGTATCATACACCGTATCACTTTTGTTTTTGCTGCCACTTTTTTTTAATGCATGCATTATTATTATTTTATTATTTTATTAATTTTTATTCTTTTATTCTTTAAAACTTAAAAAATTCAAGATCCCTTTTTCGTTTCTGTTTTGTCTGTGTCTGACGTTTGTACCTTTGTACGAACCTTATACTCCTCAGTATCAAGCCGTTATCGGCATTATTTATGCAAGCTATGTCATTGACGTAGAGTTTCCCAACTTGGTTTATTTTTATCTACCCTTGATTGACAAGACGATTTTTTCGTGTATATACATACATTGTTAGAAAAATATTTGTATTGTTGACGATAATTTTTAATTTTCTGTATTTGAATTACTTGTATTTTGATCGAGATTATTTATAATTTTTTGGTACCTTTTTATTGTAGTCTGTTTGTTTGTTATTATTATTCTTATTTTATTCATTTTCTTGTACCATAAATAAAAAATGTTGTTATTTTTGTTGGAGTTTTTTAAATCTTACGTAAAAACCCAATTATTAATAATTTGAGGGAGATTAAAAAAAGCGAGACACACAATTGATATGCTATGAACTTATTATCGTGTATGTATAATCGCGCTCGACTTTTTGTTTTCATCTGGCGGTTTCGCCCGATTTGGAGAACAGGTTCTCGAAAGGCAACACACATGATTATACTGTACATACATGGTATATTAACGCACACAATCGCACCCGCCTTTTTTATTTTGGTATTGACGTTAATGGAGGACTTCTACTAGTCCTAACCTGAATGTATGCTATTTTGTTATGCAGAGGAAATCCTTAATCGCTCTTGATTCTCATTTTTCTCGAAATTTTTCTTGCGGCCAATAATTTTGCCGCCATTTTTGAAGTGATGTCATTTTATCGTTGCAGAAACGATAATATTCGGTAAGACAAAAAATTTGGCATCGAATCAATATCAATGTTGAAGATCTCCTATGGATTTGCCTCGCGTTTCAATGCGTGTCCTAAATCAACCGGTTATTATTGCCGCCAAAATTTCCTTCATATTCGGCGACTACTGCAAGAATTAAGCGGTTTTTTTCGTGTAACAATTAAAGTTCTTGCTATTATTCCGATGAAGTACTCTCACATCAGTAAAACGTCACACAAGAAGCTCAACGTGGTAACTTTACACAAAATTTGTGTTCTGAAACTTTTTTGATTTCCCCGTGATGATCCGAGCGGAGTAATGGATGTTGCCATAGCTGGCATGTCACATTGTATTTGAAGGAAATAATCGATCAACCGATCAATCGATGGCGTTTTGTATCTATTATTTAGTACCTGGGTAAGAAAATCTCGTTTTATTTGCACATGACGATTGATTGTTGCTTTGATGATGCACAAACCAAACAATAGCATATGAAGAAACTCCAGGAATTAAAGTTTATAATAGTGTACATACCAAATATGTCGCGAAATAAAGTTTGTAATCTCGTCAATGATAATTATTGTTAACCCATTGTTCTAGCATTTATTGTTCTTTTGATGGGTTATTGTTTCTGTTTTAAACTCCTCCCTTCGCTTTCTCCTCATTGCATGTACGTACTGCTTCAAAGTCGTTTTAGACGCACATTATTTTTCGTTGTGTTACCTGTCCGCTGTTTTTATTTTTTGGCAGTTAGCGTGTTTATGCTATTAATACACGGGACTTTTATTTGTTTATATGCAGGGAAATGAGGAAATATTGTTATCGTTATTCATTACCAGTTTTATGAACACAATGAAAGAACTAAATGGTTGGGTAAATAAAAAAAATTATTCGTTACAATTTATCATAAAAATTCATAAATAACTCAAGTATTGGTTGCGTGGTGTAATGGTTAGCACCCAAGACTCTGAATCTTGTGATCCGAGTTCGAATCTCGGCGCGACCTAGCGTACGATATATTGCCATGCTACGTGAACGATCAATATCGTGATTTTTTCGAAGTTGGCGGCGATAAAATCCATTTTTTAATAAGATCATAATGCTTGCTGTGTCATATTCATCTATTATCTTAACTCGCACAAGACATTTCAATCGATAATGACACTTTAATCGATAATGGCATTTTGATAAATTCGTTTAAAATCTTAACTTTTATAGGAATTTTGTACAAACATTATGTTTTTCTGTAATACAGATCCTACAAAACGCGTTTATAACATCTATTGTAAAGGGAAAGAGACTTCCACTTTTTGTTTCACTTCCGTTCTAGTTTTCTTCTCAGTCTCGCGCAGCGAAGTGGTAAATTGAATTTAAAAATGATGAATTGAATATACTCATCACCTTTTTGCTGAATGTTTCATATCAAAGTTCTAAAAGATTTGTCATTTTATTGGTTGTTAGCTCGCAAGGTAATTGATTAGGGAACCGTGTCTAAAAACTTCACCCGGATATCTGTGTCCTTTTTAAATCGGATATCCGGGTGAAATCAGGTTAAATTTTGTTAAGTAAAATTTCACCTGGCTAATGTCAGTGAATGAATGCTATTGAAATTAACATACAGTAGCGACCATAAGTATCTGAACATCCGGCATTGCCCAAAATTATACTATAATGATCATTAAAATTTTCTGGACGTAAAATGTAATACGACATCTGATCGCTTGTAGATTGATAGAGCTTCTATATCAGATATTATATGTTCATAAACTTTCATGTTCCAAATACAATCAGTCATTTCATAACATATATCTCAATATCTAATAATCTAATTCTTGACATCCAGTGATCCGATTGAACAAAAATACTACCATTCAATTTGTTTAGTTGAGACAAATCAAATGGTAGTATTTTTGTTCAAATCAGATCACTAGATGTTGAAATATTGTATCTTATGGTAACCAATTCATTTTTTTTTTGACTTTAACAAAAATTGATCACCAAATTTAGAATGTAATATTTCAATATCCAGTGATCTGACAAAAATAATATCATTCAATTTGTCTTGACTAGACAAATCAAATGATATTATTTTTGTTCAAATCAGATCACTAGAAAACAAGATATTACATTTTAAATTGATTGATTCATTTGATAATTAATTTCTAATAACAAATATTGTCACCATTTTCAGACTCATTGCCTATGATTATATTTCTAGAAAATAGGGAGTAACTGTGTTCATGTGATAAGTCAGATTACTGAACTATCAAAATTTATAATTCAAATATCAAATAATAAAGTTGAATATATCTTCAACAAGAAATTAATAAAATAAAAATAAATAATTATTAAGACTTTTTCAAAATACCAGTAATAATAACTATACAAAGATAAATATAATAATTATCAAAACTTTCTGAAGTACCAGTCAATAATAGTTATATAAAAATGCAAATATAAAAATAAAAATAAATGCTATCTCTTTTAGATTAGCAATACAAAAATTAAAATAATATAATATCTTTCTGACATTTTTTAAATAATAAAAATAACAAAAAAATTGCAAATAATAAATAATAATACAAGTAATAAATAATAAATAATAAATAAAATATAAATAATGATTTTTTGTTAAAATAATATAATTAAAAAATCAAAATAATATAAGTCACAACCAAATTTTATTAAAGACTATATAATTTGTTTAATAATTAATTGATAATTTGCTAATAATTTTAAGTTAAAATACATATTGCTTATATATTTATTTCTATCTCAAAAAGAATCAATAAAAATTTAATATATTTCTATATATTATAAGTAATATATAATATTATTTTAATTTTTCAAATATTGCATATTTAAATTTGATATTGTTGTATAATGACCTTTCGTCATAATATTTTATTATTGAATTATAAATATTTCATATATTATTGGATAAAGATTATATCACGTGAAGTGAGCGAACAAGCGAGCGAACAAGTGAACAAGTGAACGAATGAATAACTAAGTGAACGAGCGAATGAACGAGCAAATGAATATTCAACCAATAGAATTTAAGTGATATAATGTACATGAATTCGTATAGTGTTACCATTTCATCAAAAAAATTCATAATTACTTAATTATTAATCAACAAAAATTAAGATGTATTACAAAGAACATTAAATGTTACAT